GGGCCCGGCGCCGGGCTCCCGGGTGTCGGGCGCCGCGGCCTCCGTGGGCTCGGCCCGGTCCGGAGGCCAGCGCGGGGTCGGGCCTGGGGCTGGCGAGGCGCCTGGACCCTTGCGGGCCCGCTTTCAGATTGTTCCGTTGACGGCGATCTATTTCTTACTTTTATGTACTTGCTATAATTTCTAAAATGCATTTACGAAATCCTGCGCGGAGATGCGCTGCACTGTGGCTTTGCAAGGCTACGTTATCCGTGGAGCCGCGATTGTTTCGCGGGGAGCGAGTTGTCCTGGGGACCGCTGGTGTGTGTTTCGCGGTGCAGTGGTCGGGCCGGCTGCGCAGGTTTTTCTAGGAAGCATTAGTGTGTGCCCTTGATTTTTTAGATGTCAGATTTTGTGTGTTGAGTCACTTCGTCCCTGGCACCTGGGTCCCACGTAATTGTAGACAGGCGTCAAAGGTCACTCGGCGATTGTGAAAGCAAGTTATTTGATGACTTGGTTATTTTGTTTGCATGATTCGTCTTGGCTCAGACATTTTGGTCATTGCTGAAGGTTTTTAAAAGTCACTATGATTTTGTCAGTTGGAAATAGACAACATTTTCTAAGGAGATACATTTAGGACCATGGAGCAGTTAGAAATCAATCCACATTGTATTTAAAACAAAACAAAACAAAACAAAAAATCAAAAACTGAATTGAGGATTTAATTTTCTCTAATATGTAAAATTTGTCTTTGATTAAAATGATACATTTGGAAAAATGATGCTCACCGTGGGCAGTGAGGCGAGAAGTGCGAGTTATTAAAAGCATTCTTTTTCCTTTTTCAGGTCAAAGTATTGTATTTTGCAAAAAGTGCTGAAATAGCAGGAGTTCGTTCCGAGACGATTTCCGTTCCGCAAGAAATAAAAGTCTCGCAGCTGTGGAAGGAGCTAGAAACTCGGCATCCTGGGTAGCTAAAATGTTTGCATAACACATAAGATAAAGCAAGTAATACGGAAAAATAGTTGTTCAATATGATTTATTAGTTGTAGTTTCCAAAACTTCTTCTCAAAGTTTAAATTCTAGTATTTAGCAATGCTCAATTCCTTAAGGATGGTTAAAGATAGTTTACTAAAATGCTCCCAGATAACCCGGTTATGTAATTTATAGTTATTTTCATAATTTGTGGGATAGTGAAAGTGTAGATTCTGTATTTATATATCATTAAGTGACTTTTTTACAAATTTTACTTAAAATGTGCCTTGTTGTTTTTTATCCTGCTCTAGAACACTTAGGGGGCCGGACAGATAGAACACTCAGAATAGAAATTTCTAAAATTAAAAGAACAATGAATCAAGCCCTAAATGCTGCTGAATTTGAGTCTGGTAATCTTTTTCTTGGTCCTTGAAACCAATTTTTCAACTCTCATTCTGATTTTGAGATCTTTTTGGAACAAAATATAAATGTGAATTATTTGAGGTCGTTCATGAACTAGTAATGCCACTGAAATCAGTATGAGTGTTTAACCTGGGACTCCAAGGACTTGATTGGGGTTGGGTTGCTCGGGGACAGAGCATTGGATGTAGCATGTCGGAGGCCCAGGACTCTGTCCCCAGCACCCCAGACTCTGCACTGCATGTTCCAAGGAAAACTAGCTGCAGTGCTCTATCTAGCAGTCAGGGAACCCTCACAGCACCTCCATCCTGTTTTGCTTTTCCTGTATCTGTAGGCAGATGTCTGCACTGCAGGACACTTAGTCGCTGTCCTTAGGTTGCCACTATACGTAAGACAGAAGGCCATTGGCTGTTGAGAGCTCTTCCTAGTCCTCCTCTGGGTCCAGGAAGCGTATATTTGTAATCCCATCAAGTTAATTCCAGTCTACCACTTTCAGTGCAACCCAAGGCACAAAGGCATGTAGAGTTATGGGGAGCCAGGGAGCCTAAGTCCACCATGGCGATGGCTATCTGAAACAAAGGCCCTGACCCAGGGACGAACCTGGTTTCTTTCAGTTATGAAGGAAGAGTGGCTTGAGGATGAATGAATGGGAATTGCAGGAAGTAGGCTAGTACTGTGAGCTGTGCTAGGTAGGAGGCCTGCATTTATCTTATGCAGAGAAGGATATGCAAAAAAAGTAATTTGCATTATACTATTGAGACAGTATCTAATGTTTTGGGGTCTGGTGCTTTAGCTCTGGTGTGTAATCTTGCAAGCCCTAGGAAGTCATAGCCTCTATCTTTATCCCAGTGGACAGCGTGGAGCATTGGCTCTGTCCTGTCTCAACCCAGATTGCATTAAAGAGCAGCAGATGTATGTTATCAGGGAAACACTACCACCAACACCTCGATTAGACCAGTATACATTGCTTAAAGCCAATAGAAAAGATAAGAAAAAGCCTTAACCTGTTCTGTACATATCAATACAAGAAAATAGGGTCAGGCTCAGCCAAAATGGAGACAATTATTCTTTCAATGCGAGTTGTTCAGGCAGTTCTCCACAATAGACTGATTTGGGAATTTCTCTTTTCTCTTGACCTGGTTTGAATACTGCCTCCAGTCTGGTTTTGTTTGTTTAATTTTCAACATACACAACAGTCAATAAAGTGGCGTTGCAGCCTAATGTGTTTCTCTAATGAATAAATGTGTTTGTAGGTGGATAATTTCATTTGTCTACAGAAAATGAGTCAATAACTTTGCAGACCGTGCTGGAGACCATGGTGTTTATGTAATATTTTTAGTTGCAGCAGAAAAATTTCTAGGTCTATCATACACTGTTCCCCCCTAGTCCTGGGGAATCAAACTTGCAAACTTGTGCTTGCTAGGTAGGTGCTTAGGTCACTGAGCTGTCTCCCCAGCCCTTATCATACACTCTTCTAATCAGACTTTTTCTCTTGCAGATTGGCTGACATTAAAAATCAGGTTATCTTTGCCATTCGTCAGGAGTATGTCGAGCTGGGAGATCAGCTCTTCCGGCTGCAGCCAGGAGATGAAATCGCCATCATCCCGCCCATCAGTGGAGGGTGATGCTTTCCAGCCAGGCGGGTATGTGGTTCCTTTTCCTAAACCAGTCTCGTGGAGAGGGATTGTACAGATAACCCGTGCGCAGTTTGCTAGCACAGTAGATTCCGGGTAAGTCTGTTCCTTACTGATGCAGCGACTCTGTTGGTGCAGAAGGAGTTACGGCTACCTACCCGCCATCTCTGAGTCCACTCTGTCATATTGTAATACTAGTTCAGTACATTAATTTTGTATTTAACATGGTTTATTGGCATCTTTCTATGTATCAGACATAGTATTAGTCTATGGAGTCTTAATATCCACATATTGCTGGTGGGAAAACTGAAATTCAGAGAAATTTAAAAGTGTTCCTTTTTGTCGCATCGTCAATAAGTGGCAGAGCCAAACTTTGAATTCCTGTTACTGGAGTCTGTGTTTTCACAAACACAATGGCTTTAAATAGTGCCCTTCTTGCACATGAAGAAATATAGACCAATTGCACAGCTAGAGAGTCAGTAGGCCACTTTGCCATAAAAGGAAGCTCACTGTAGTCCGTTTTATCTGCGCTGCAGGTGATCTCATGACCATATTTACATCATTCCAGGTCACTTAGTCTATATTTAGGTAGGGTGATGTGTAAGAACTTTACCATACTGCAAGAGATCCTGCTTCCCTTAAGTATAAAAAGAAAGGGTAAGGTTTGTTGTCAACCAAAGAGCAAGGGAGATAAGTCATCCCTGCATAAAAACTCGAGTTACAATGAAAAGAACCTTTGATGGAGCTTTGTCTGACATGAGCAGTGGCTCTCACACTCAGCGGCGGGGTCATGCTTCTATTAGAGAAAGAGGCCATCAGGGATGCCTGATGGGCCTTGCGCGCCTCGGCGAGCCTGCCTTTCCCAGGGACCGTGGCCCAGGACCGGAGACCTAGGGCTCTGCGGATGTGCGCTGGCTACAGCTGTTCTCAGACTGGGGAGATTACTCACACTGCATGCTGCTTGAGCGTGCTGGGTTTCCGTCTTCCGTGGTCAGACGCTGGGAATTCTGTGCCTTGCAGCTGCTAGACCCTACATGGGTTACCTATGTCGTACTGAAGCACAAAGCTTGAAAGGCCGTGGAATAAGAAAGAACAGCGCGCCCAGCAACTGCCAGGGCGTGGCCATACTGTGATGTTCCTGTGGTGACATGACAGAAGCTCGAGTGGTGTGGACAGTCGGTGAAACATCCTGGAATGCAGGGACCCGGGACCAGTCCTGCTTTCTGGTTATGGGACGAGATAGGGACATGACCGTTGGACTGAGAACCCGGGAGGGAGTCCTGACGTTCTCCAAGCCTTCGTTCAGCTTTCAGCTCCAGGGAAGCCTCCCAGTGTCTGTTGTCCTCCCTCGGGTGCACTGCCCTCCTGACTACAGGCTGTCCTTTCTCCCTGCCCTCTGTGCGTAGGCTCCTGCTCCCTTCTGAGGCCATTGTGTTCTGCCTTGTCCCCCCCAGCCTCCATGCTGCCAGTTCCCCTCTGCCTGTGGTTGCTTCTTCACAGCTTTCTCATCCTTCTGGTCTCAGCTTTACCTGTCACCTCTTCAGAGCAACCTCTGCGGCTCCTTCTCTCTTAGCTCAGTCTCAGACCCTGTTTATTCCCACAAGGCATCCTGGTCTGCGGTCCTTTGCCACTTTGCTTCTCTTATCCAAATACACGCTTCTGAGGAGAGGAATCTGTGAGTGTGTACTGATGCCCTTAGTGCGTCATCATATTTGATGAATTTTAGGAAAAATGCACAGCAGGAGACTTTGCTGAAATATGTGTGCAGTTTATTTGAAGTGCGATCGCTGTAGCAGTTCTCAGATTAGGAAGATTATTCAACGTTGTGTGTTGGTCGAGTGTGTGGGGTGTTAGTATGCTGTAGGTGTGTAGTCCCTTCCCCGCTGCCCCTGTGACGTAGCTGGGCTGATGCAAGCTCTGAACGGAGCCTCATTCCTATCGGATCTCCACTACTTCAATGCTGCCCCTTTCCTCTTTGGATAAAGAGTAAGAGGGTCCCGGGGCCTTGGTTGTACAGTATTTGTGGGTGACAGTGGTAGTGTCTCACCTGTATCCGTGATTGGAGTAACAGCTACAGAACTGAAGTAAATGGACACATGAGATTGATTATATTTGAGTGATTGTGCGAATACTGAACTTATTTGTATGTAATACCTGATTCTTTAGGGCTACTTGTGAATAGACTAATTTGGCTAGAAGTTTACCATTGCGTCTTGTTTTATTTAGCGGCAGGCACTCCGTATAGTTCAGTCTAGCCCTGAACTGCGGGCACCCCTCGGGCACCCCTCACCCTCCCGTCTCAGCCCCGCGAGAGCTTGTGGTTGCTTGTGTTTGTCCTTCACATCCAATCCTGTCTCCTAACGTGTTATGTAGAAAGGAGGATAAAGGGAACTCGCATGCCAGGCGAGAGCTTTGCTTCTAGCATTCAGGTGAGATGAAGTAATGTCTTATTTCTAGGAAAGATACGGGCGAAGCTGAAGAGAAATCCAGAGACATAATAAAATGCACAGCGGACAAGCTTTCTGTGGACGAAGCCTCGCAGCTGGTGATTTCTCCAGCGTGTGGCGCAGTGTCCTTATTTGTAGGTGAGTTGAAATTTTCTCCGCATCTATTGACTGCACAAGACTAGAAACTAGCAAGCACTTCCCATGCTCAGGGTTAATAGAAGACTTAAAGGTATTGTGGAACAAACCAAGATCACCTAGGTAGATTTAGCATAGCTTTTTTTGTTTTGTTTCAGTAACTTTCAGATTAAACTATAAGAAGACACAAAAAAGATCTGGAAGTGGTCGTAGCTAAGAAAGTTCTATTTTTTTCCAAATGTTGAGAAAAATATGTGCTGCAACATAAATCTAGGAACATATTTTCCTTGTAAATATCAAATGGTAACTGTTACTAAGAAAAGGAATACAGCATGTTTTTTTCATCTGAATGTTTTCCTTAAGGTTAATCAGTGTTTATCAAGAATAATTAGCTTTTGTTTTCTTAAGGTCTCTGTTTGGAAAATTTCAAAGTAATTCTTAAGCATTTGCTTTTTATTCTGTTAATGTGCTGTTTCTAAATTATGGGAAATTTTTATTTTAATTTTGTGAGGGGTTTTGTGTTTTTTTCTTTTTAGGGACTACAAGAAATAACTTTGAAGGGAAAAAAGTCATTAGCTTAGAATATGAAGCGTATATACCAATGGCGGAAAATGAAATCAGAAAAATTTGTGGTGACATTAGGCAGAAGTGGCCGGTAAAGCACATAGCAGTGTTCCATAGACTTGGGTATGACTTTCTTTACCAATTTCGAAGTTAAGTATAGTTGTTTTCCATCTCTCTGTGAATGCTGGAGTCTTCCTTAGGAATTTTGTGGTCCTTGGAGTGCAGGGCTCATGGATGGCTTTGGTGGACAGCGGAGGTGGCTGTGGGTTGTCCTGTGAGCGATCCCTCACTGCCTCTTGCTGCGGTGGGGTGCAGCCGTGCAGGATTTGTAGCCCTGGACCTGTGTACCCGTGGGGAGGTTTTCTAAAGTCCTCGAGGCTTTGCGACAATCGTTTTGTGCTTTGGACTGTTTCTTATGAGTCTGTTAAAAATTTGAAGTCATTAAATTGTCGCTGAAAAGAGTACAGTTGTAGACTTTAACAGATAGCACTTAAGACAACTTCAGTTGTGTTATTTTTTTTTATGTCTCTACTTTTAGTACTAACCAATATTTTGTTAGTAACCAGTAAGTTTATTAGTGAGTATCGTCAATTCTACCACTATTTATTATTTTCAATCCTGTGTTCTGCTTGTCACGCAGTGACTTTGTATTCTGGGCATTCCCTGGCACCGCGCCTTGCCTGTTGGAATCATATGCATGCTGGATCAGCCGAAGGGCTCCGTCTTCCAGGTTCTCACAAATGCTCTGAGGTTAAATGCTGACAGACGGGCCGCATTGGCTGGAGAGCCCCTTGGCTGAATGCAGCTGGGATGATTTTTTTGTTCTTTTACTAAACTGGTTGCTTAAGTCAAATAAATCTATAATATAGTCCAAATATGTAACTGGAATTTTCCTTCCTGCTTTTCCAGCAGGTTCCTTGATGGAGATTAGGAGGGGACCATAATTCCTTTCTGTACCTTCCCGCAGCTCAGTGCCGGTGTCAGAGGCGAGCGTAGTTATTGCTGTGTCCTCAGCCCACAGGGCCGCATCTCTAGCCGCCGTGAGCTATGCTATTGATGCTCTAAAAGCCAGAGTGCCCATTTGGAAAAAGGTAAGTGAAGGAAAATATCTCATGGTGCTATGCGGCCATGCTTGTTCTCAGGACTTCTTAAATGAAGGGTAGAGAATCGGAGTACATGCACAAGTTGCATTCATGGGCCTTCCTTTTTTAAAAAAATTTTTTTTGAGAATTTGCATTTTTAGAGCAGGGTCTCGCTATGCAGTTCAGGCTGGCCGTGAACTTACTTCATAGCCCAGGCTGGCCTTGAGCTCACAGCGAGCCTCCTGCCTCAGCTTCCCGAGTGCTGGGATTAGGCTTGCACCACCATGGCTGGCTCTGATGGATCTTCGTTAACGCAGGGCCTTATCTATAGAACGTGTGAGGTGCAGCCCCTGTGTAGTGTCTTCTTTACAAGTCTGGTAAACGTGGAAAGTCCATGTCCCCCAGGAGCTGTGCCGCAGAGCAGGTCCCTGCATGTGGTAGCAGGTGGAGTTCTAGTGTGGACTGTTCCCCTGGTTCCTGGACAGCCACATCCCAGGGATTAAGGGTTCTTTTCAGTTAGAGGGTCTTTTGAAGAGTGGGAGTAGCACGTGGCTACTTAGCGGGTGGTTAAGATAGAAATTCTTTCAGGTAGAAAAAGCCTTTCACTACTGTTCTTCTGGGAGAGGAGAAAAGAGGGTAGAAAGGTGTTACTGACTCAGAAAACTGCGTGGGGATCGGATTTAAAAACACGTGTGAGGTTCTGGCTCGTTTGTTAATAAGTCAGGACCAGTCAAGGGCAGGTGGACCTTGACTGAAGGCATTCTGAGGGGGAGCACCCTTCGCGCCCCCTGGATAGCTGCATTCCTCCTGGGGTTGTTCTGCATTTCGAGTGGGTGATCACATGTCTAAGTCCAGAGTCCCCGCAGCACTGCACGCTGGGGAGTTGGAGGAATAGGGGACGGTTCGGTGGGTCAGATGCAGAGCCCCGGGCCGGGGCTGTAGAGGCTGCAGTGGTCTGCGCCCCCCCCCCCCAGTCTCCACCCAGGCACTGGGACAGACCAGCGAGAGGAACTTATGGACCTTGAAGAGCGGCCGGAATACCTTAGGTTTCGGATTTTAGAGACCAAGCTCTGCGAAAGGAGCTTGCGGAGCTCAGCGGGAAGGCGGGTTTACAGGGCTGCTGCAGTGCACCGAGGCGGGCTGGAAGGGAGCAGCAGGGGGCGCGCCAACGAGAGCGGCAGGCCTGCACCCCGCAGCCACTCCAGCAGGGAGGGCAGGGCAGAGCGGGCAGCCCGGGCAGGCTGGGGCGGGAGCCCTCCGGGCGTGTTCCTGCTCCTTGGGTTCCACTCGCTGGCCTTCTCTTCTCCTTCTGTCCGTGGGGGGCCGGAAGAGGTGCGGCTGTGCAGAGAGGGCAGCCGTCAGCATCGGGGTGCGCAGCGGCGAGCACACCAGGGACCGTGCCGGAGGGCGCCCTGTCAGGCCAGAGTGCAGCAAGCTCGCGAGAACTCGGGCAGTGTAGACGTGTGTCGGGAAACGGAGCACGGGGATCCAGGCCCAGCAAAGTAGGAAGGAGTGGCTGCGCGTGGCCTCCGCGCCCCTGGAGAGGCCGGGGCTCCCCCGGGGAGCCGCTGTCCCTGTGGTAGGGGACAGACGGACTCATCTCTGTGCTTGCAGCGCCTCAGACTGTTACGGGTGGAGTGCGCAGACCGAAATAGGTGTGGGCTTGATCCGTCTGATTTGTTCAGTGCATCTTATGGTCACTTCTTAGCCGCGCCTCTTCTGAATACCTGTTCCGGTTCTGCTCCGTAGGAAATCTATGGAGAGTCGTCCTCGTCCTGGAAAAGAAACAAAGAGTGTTTCTGGGCAGCTGGTGATTGAGCACATACGTTAAAGCATTAAATCTTCAGTTCGGCAAAATTGTCCTCATAGATCATCGTGATTTTTATTCTACAGAAAGGGTAATTGAGTGAAGCACAATCTCTTAGGCTTTCTTAGTGGGTCAAGTGGGAGAACAAGCAGGCAAAAGAAATACAAAGGGCCTGGAAGCTGGCGACAGGGAAGGCGCAAGGAGAGGCGCGGAGCCGCCCTGCGCTGCGGAGCCCCCCTCCCTCCTCCCCCGTGTGCTGACCCCCAGCGCCCCGCCGCCCCGCCGCCCCACGCCAGCCGCCCCACGCCAGCCGCTGGAGAGCCGGCCAGCCCGCACACCAGGGCGCTCCATCGGGCGCCCCCCAGAAGGGCTGCTGGGACCGCCAAGTCTCTGTCAGCCAATTTGGAGACTGCGTGTTACACATTTTCAGAATTTACATATTTAAAAAATAAATTACATGATTTAAAAGCTTAAAAATGGTATATTTCTGTTTTTTAAATTGTGATGAATCTAAAATGGAGACTTCTAATATTTTAGAGCCTGTACCCTCATGCTTTTCATATTTTATTAGTTATTAATCAGTATACAGGTCGGCATAAAATTGTTAAACAACAGTGTGCTTTGTGCTAAAATGTTATATAACTGTTATACTGAAATTTTATTAAGGAAAATAATATTAGGGAAATTATATGATTTGTAAAGTATTTGAGGCTTTTTTTCTGGATACTTATGCAGCGTAATCATTAACGAAGTCATCAAAAAATTCTGTAAGATTTTTTATATTAAAAAGCATTTTTATCTTAAATGATATAGTTTGATCAGCCAGTGTACTCCGGATAGATTTGAGTAAGTCTCTTTTTAAAAACAAAAAGTTACTAGTCTATTGAGGTATATTTAACAAATAAAAATTACCTATATTTGAGGAGTACAGTGTGGTGTCTTTGAAACCAGGCCATAAAGGGACGAAGTCCAAGGGTCCGAGTGAATTAAAGGTGAGAGCCGTGAACCTGAGGGCGGCCTGGAGGACCAAGCCCGGCACCTGCAGCAGCCCTGCTGTGCAGCCTGTGCCCATGGTTGGCCCTTGCATGACTGGAAAGCTGCGTCAGCTTCTAGATTCCACCCTCGGTGTCCTTGCCCGCATCCAGTGTTGGCAGTCCTTGGTCCTTTTGATAGGCTACACCCTGTACCAGTACTACTGCTTGCTGTCCTGTGCTGTCTCCTTGGTCGCCTTCTGGAGGAGCCCCTGAGAGAGCTGGCCACGTCTCGCTACACAGCTCAGACTCATAGTGATACTCCTGTCCCAGCCTCCCCAGCACTAGGATTAGAGGCGTGCGCCCCTACACCCACATTCTGGCCGGCTCAGCGCACCTTGGGTGTGGCTGGCATGGCAGGTGGTGCTGGGAATCAAACCCCAGTCCCTCCGTCTGCCTAAGCAGGTGCTTTAATCCACTGAGCTATTTGGCCGGCTCTTCTTCTTTGGGATATGTCCCTGGCCATGCAAACAGACTGGGCCGCAGGACCCCGGGCATGCAGATTTGTGTCCTGCTTCCTTCCCGAGTGAGGAGGGTCTCAGCCTCATCCTTACCTCTCCACTCAGTGCAGTCTTTTCTTCAGCTGGCCCTTAACCTGTCCCCACTTGAGGTCAGGCTGGCCGTGGGGCAGTCAATTGCCCTGGATCACATTAAATTGATGGGCTGTTTCTATTGCTGTTAATGAGTGATTTCTGTAATTAATAAGATGTGTGTTGTAGTATCTAAACTGTGTATATGTGCTGTATATGGATTTCAAGGTTTTCTCAAATATTTTTAGTGGGTCTTTATACAGGGTAATTATGTTTTTAAAGAGCATAGAGCATTTTTAAAACACGTTTGTAAAGAGTCATATCGTTGGGGAGACTTTAAGTTTGGGACCCAGACTGGCTTGCTTTTAGGCTTCCACGAAGGAAGTGAAGGATTTCACCTGTGGCCTGCTGGAACCAGGGTGGTACGCCCTAGCATGCTGGTAAGATTGTAGCGAATAGGGTCTCGGTGAGTTCCTGTAGTTCATTGGTAGTGGGGATATCCAGGGCTGGATTGGTCTGGTACTCTGCCCTTGCAGCTTGGCCCCCTGCGATCCTGACATCAGCTGATGGCACGCTCCCCACCTTCTCAAGTCGCTGAGGAATGGTGACCCGACTTCCAGTATGACCCTGGGAAGGGTTCACTTAAGCACAGAAAATTCCTATGTAAGCTTCAAGTATTTTGAACAGGTAGCGAAATGGGAAAGGTTTTAGTTTTCAAATGAAAGTAACAGGTGTTCAGTGAGGGAAGTGTTCTGTAGGTATGTCGGTCTTGGAGGTGATATTTGAGTCAGTATTGTTTGCAGGTCTTTTAAAAAATAAAAGGATAATTAAGAATTCAATGGTTGGGATTCAGATTCTTGGAATTGGGCAAACGGGATTAGGGAAGCGGGATTAGGAAAGGGATCCCTGCTCTGGCTTGAATTCAGACCCTCCTTCCTTCTGCAGGTCCCTAGTGGCTGCGAGGCTGCTGCCTGGCCCGCCGCCCTGCCCCGCCCAGCCGGTTTTTCTTGTTCCTCTTGGCCTTTTTGGGATCTGCAGCGCCTGGGCCCTCCCACTGCCCACCGTGGCCTGCAGGTGCGCACCGCCTCGCCTAGTCACGTCTGGCCTCCACGTGCTTCGTCTTGCAGGCGTTGGCGGGCCAGTCCTGCCTTGGACAGCTGGATTGAGACCTCCCTGGGCTGTGCGGCCTGTTTATTTCAGTCTGATTAAATGCTACCTTCCTGCAGTGTTCTATCAAGCCTGAATCCTGCGTCTTCATGGAATGAACACCAGTGCTGTTGGGGTTACACTTCTGTCCCCAAATAAACACGCGTGACGTGTGTGACAGTAGTACTCACCGATGCATTTGGCTAAATAAATGATTCACAGCTTTTAACTTTTGTCCCGGATCCCTTCCCCACTTCGAATCCTGTGGCATTTCACCGAACTTTATGTTAAGGTATTGATTTGTGCTGTAGTTATGGGGATTGTCCAGCAGAGGGCAGTAGAGTCAGGGCTATAATACCAACTTCGTTGGTTTTGATTTTTCACAGAACAAAAGTTTATTGGCAATTTTCTTTAAAATAAATCTGGTACAGACCTTAAATGAAAATGAGACCCAAATTTTGCATAAGAAGGTATCCAATCTTTAGTTGGTGGCTTAGTTTAAAATAGTAACGGGGGGAGGGTGGCCTGGGGAGATGGCTCAGTGGAATAAGCGCTTACCTGGCAAGCACAAGGGCCTGAGTTCAATCCCTGGTTCCACAAAAAATAAAATAAAATAGTAATGGGTTATAATAAAAGGAATTTTTAAGGCTGTAGTTTCTAAAAATAAAAATTTTTGAAATGAATTGCCTTTAAAAAGTAAAAAAAAACCTTATTTTACAACTATGTGGAACAAAATGATAGCTTTAGCCTATTTGCTTAGCAGCATTTCCTAAATTGCTCTTTGAAAACAAAACAACTAACAGGGTTGTTTTTTTTTGTTTTTGTTTTGTTTTGTTTTGTTTGTTTGTTTTGTCATTGAGACAGGGTCTTGCTAAGCTGTTAAGTTGCTCAGGCTGGCCTCAAACTTGCAGTCCTCCTGCCGTTGCCTCCCGAAGCATGCCCAGCTCTAAGGTTGTGTTTGAACACAGACGCCGCCAAAGCAGGCGCTACAGGCTGTAGTTTAATGCGCGCAGCGTTCCCAGAACGCTCGAGCTGGCTGGATGCGCGGAGCCCACGCCCGCCCTGGGGCGGTCCGGCGGCTCCTCCGGCAGGCGCACATCCCTCCGCCGCCGGCCAGCGCTGCAGCCCCACCGGCTGTGGCCCCGAGATGCGCCTTTTAGCTTTTCAGTCAGCTCAGCACATTCAAGTTTTACACTACTGAGACCGTCCTACTTGCTGTAGGAACTACGATGACTGACTGCTTGTGCATCTTGCAGCACTAAGAAAACTGGTTGGTTTTCTTCCCAGACCGGCGCTCTTTCTAGTTACATCCTTAATCCTGCAGAACTGAATTTCAAGCGCATTCTGCAGCCAAACCCAGCCGTTAGAGGGTGTGTATAGTGAAACGCATTAGTTCGAAGCATCCACACCCAGAGAGAATAGCTTTATTTTCAAGCCAGTTTTAATTCAACAATGTTGCATGAAGCGTGGCTTACACTTAAGTAAAAATGTTTCATTTTGTTCTTAAGAGAAAAGCTATTAGTCTGGATTGATTACTGTTCCAATTTGATTTTCATTTCTTGAGGTGTGCCGCTCAGTGTACATTCATTCATTTTTACACTTTCCGTGGTGAGAAAAGGAGGCCAAACACACACACACACACACACATAAAAAAAAAACAAATTGGATACCCAAGACCCGTGCATTATTTATGAAGAAAACAAGACAATATGTTAAATATACAATTTCTAACACAGTTAAACAACATATACATTTATATCATGACTCAACCTGCCCAAGAAAATCAAGTACACGATTCCTTTTATATTTACATGATGGCTACATTTTTGTTCTTTAAAATCACTAGTTAATATTTTCATTTGTTGCAAATTTTGACCCCATGTTTATCTTCTACCTGTAAATATTTAAGTTAATCTTTCAAGTGGATTAAAATGGGCATTTGCATTTTATGTACATGAAGGACACAGTCCTAAAAAAAGTATATCTGATTGTTCCTCTTGTGCTGACTGGTGAGTCAGGAGGCTAGGTTTACATAACCCTGCCTTTTTAATGCTGCCTTAATGTATAAAAATTTTCACACATTGGGTTGTAGTTGATCAGGGTAACTAGAGTAAAAATTACACCTTTTGAAATAGCTCTCTGCGTCACCACTCATGTGACATAATGGGCTTTAGTTTTTTTTTTTTTTTTTTTTTTTTTTTTGTCTTTCACAGTTAATAGGTAACTTTCACGATTCCATAAGAAGCACTGCGAGCTGGAAACCTGCAGCTGAGGAATTCTCGCTGTGCTGCCTAGATGAGAGGTGCACAGGTTGCAGCCTCGGCGCTGAGTCTTCCTCAGGCTCTGTCACTGTCTTCAAGGCAGCGGAGTTGGAGCCACTCACAGCCTGCACCATATTCTGTCGCCTTCGCTGTATACCATTTACGAAATGGAAATTCACTGTTTAAAGCCCAGTACTCACTTTAAAACAAAAGTATAGCTGAATGAAACATACAACTTGAAAAAATGTATAATTTTAAAATTTTTTGTATGAATATTTTGGTTAAAAGTGCTTGAGAACAACTCTTCCTGGGGGCCATTTGGCACTATCTGGAGGTATTTAATTACTGTCGTGATGCAGGAGGCAGTTACCTGGCGTCTGCTAGATAGAGGCCACAATGCTGCTAGAGAGTGTTTCACCCCTGCCCCACGGAAACCACCTGACCCAAAGTGACAGCAGCAGCTCAAGGCTGGAGAACCCTACCCCGCTGTGATAAGCGCTGGGGAGACCAGTGCTGACTCAGCTGCAGGGATCCAGCTGCTCTGTGGAAACTAATGAGACAGGCAGCTTGGGCCGAGGCTAGCTGAGTTCTAAGCTCGGTGCGACCTTGGCTTGCTACTTACCTAAGGAAGGTGAGGCAGGATAAAGGAGGAGCGAAGATGTGCGTTGTAAAGTATACTGAAAGCCTAGCAGTATTCACATAATACAGTTTATTAAATATCCTTTATCAGCGTGATGTCTAGTCTCCACTTCTTTTTAAATAAAAATTTTGTTGGAGTGAAACAGTGAATCCACAGCTGTTAAACGAATTGGGCTCTGGCTCACCTAACTAGCGAAAATACCACGCTGTGTTTGTCATAAACCCCCGATACTTTATGGCTGTTGTGCCGCTGTCTCGCTTTCTCCAGCAGCCCCGTGTGCTCACTCGGGGGCCAGGCAGCCCGCAGTCGTGTCAGGCGTGCACGCAGGCGGATTCCTGTTCAAGTCACAGGCTCGGAGGATCGTCTGTGCATCAGAAATCTAGGTCACGCTTGTAAAACTAAAAGCATCACTCCTGTGCCCCAGCCTAGTCCCCCGGGAATAGCGGGGACACTGGCAGTCACAGAACTTGAGGACTTGTCCAAAGCCTTAGGTGCACAGCGTCCCAGCATGAAGAGGTCCCTGTTGCCCTTTTCTTCAGAGTTCTTCCTAGAGGATGCACAGGCTCAAAAATGGAGAGAAGAAAGTAGACGGTGGAGGCCCCCAAAGCATGTCCACTTTTGCTGCTGCAATGATGGGTGCTCATCAAAATGCAAACTACAGGCCATCGACATAGCTCCGTGGTCTAAAGCACCTATTTAGGCACGCACACAGGGACCGAGGTTCGATCCCCAGCACCACATTGTGTGCCAGCCCCGCCCCCAGGGTGGGCTGAACCAGACACAAAAAAAAAAAAAAAAAAAGCAAATTAGGGAGCCTCATTCCAGTCCCACCACATAATCTCAGGAATTGGAGCAGAAGGGTTGCTCTTTTAAGAAAACTTGCCCAGATGCAATTCGGTCTTCTAGACACGTGGTAAGCACAACAGCTGCTCCTGCTAATCTTACAGTTCCCGGTCCCTCATTCATAATTTCTTCCAAGCTCCTAGCATGCTTTACCTTATCCTCTTTATGCCATCTGAAACTCCAGCACCGAGGTATTTACCAAGTCGCATGTTCGCATCCAGCAGTCAACAGCACTGGCCGCCTCAAGTTAAGGCGTGTGCGCAGTGACTCACACAGGTGCATGGACTCCGTGGCTTCTCCAACCCAGCACCTCCCAGGCCGAGGGAGAAACTGGGTCAAGCAAGGTGAATGACACCCCGGAGAAGAAGGCAGTACAGGGTGTCTGTCACACAGGCACCGGGACCAGGACTGAGAGAGAGTAGCCCAGCAGGGGAGCAGAGCGCTGCAAAGCATTTACTGATCTTTTACATATTCACCAAATTTCTGCCAGCCAGCTGACAAAGTCCAAAAAGAGCTGTGGTGCACTTAAAGGTGTACACCAGAAAGTGTAGTGTACGTCCCTGGCTTCCAGCAGATAGGCTTTCACCATATATGTGCTATACAGTATGGCATGGAAGCAAAATTTTGTTCCTTGGCTTCTAAACTGCCCCTCCCCAGTTCACATGGAGATGTCCTCAGCAGGAGGCATCCTTGGTAGGGGGCATGTCGGTGGGGCTTCCAGTTATTTCTGCATGCTTTAGCAATTAGAGCAAGGCAGGAATGTGAAGAGGCGGCCAAGGGCCAAAGGACCACTAACAAATTTTCACTAGTTATAAATACAATTATCGGGCCAGCAAGATAGCTCAGCGGACTAAGTGCCTGCCTAGGCAAGCACAGGGACCAGGGCTCGATCCCTAGTGCCATGTGCCACACCGGCCCCAACCCCAGGTGCAGTGAGCTGGCCACTGAGACTGGGCCTGGTGGCGCACACCTGTAATCCCAGTGCTGGGGAGGCTGAAAACAGGAGGATCACTATGAGTCTGAGCTGCATAGTGGGACCCCGTAACAAGCAAATACATTAAAAAAGAAATAAAATTATCACTTCAATGTACACTCTGTCGCAATTTTGGATGAACAGTGTAAGTTGCAAAACAACCTGTGCTAGTTTTGTCTGCTCTTGTTAACATTACTTATGATAATTTTATATATGTAGAAATATCCAGTACAGAATATAATACATATTACATGTCATATGTGCATATAATATGTATTATGTATAATGTCATATGTATCCTATAATACACAGTTTATATTATAAAACTGCCATTCATAATTATATGTTATATATTAATATGTATAATATATATATATATTTTTGGGGGGTTGCTGTTTAAATCAATCATTTTAAAGGAAGTATTTCCCACCCCCAAGATCTCAGAAAGTTTTACAATTTTAAGACTGGCATACCAGGAAATATTTTGTTTCCAACACAATGTAAACTCTGGACCAGCCAGTTCAAGGGTTATTTTTTCTTCTCTGTAAAAAATAAGTCTTTTGCCATTTTTACCCCTAATCTTCACTCACAATTTTCTCACTCCAAACTGACAGCTGTTTCTCTTCAAATGTCGGGCTCGTCTACTTAGTAGTGAAAAGCTTGGGCTTAAAGCAAAGATCCACCGGCAGCAGCAGCGCACCCCGGTGCTGGCACTCCGCGGTGCAGTGGGCTCTGCCCGCCGGGCACCTCAGCTCTGGAGTTCTGCGGTTTCATCCGTGTCATCTGGATTTTTCATCATCTTTTCATATTTTCTTTTGAAGAAGCCCAGCTGTGAAGATGAGGACATCAAGTGTCACCACTCTGTGCAGACCGCTAACCCCGTTCGAGCCCTACATCGCGAGCTCGTGTCCACCGGGCCGTCGGATCACACCGCACCCAGCAAGTGGACACAACTGGGAAAAGATGTCGCCACCAGGCCCTGTGTGGGGTGGTGGCTTTGACCTTTGCTGCCCACTCTTTCTGTGGCATCCAGGGGGACTCCCCAAGGCACTGGCGAGAGTCAGGTACAGGCGCTGGACCTTCACCTGTCCCCTGAATTTAGTGAGGAAATTTATAACCAGAGTTCAAAATTGCATCGAGATAAATTTCTGCTTTTTTTTTTTTTTTAGTAGTTCTGGGGATTGAACTTGAGGCCTCATCGTGCTAAGCAAGTACTCGGCCACTGAGCTACACTCTAGGCTTTCCTTCATTTTGCGACAGGGTCTCACGAAGTTTCCCGGGCAGCGCGTGAGCTTAGGGTCCTCCTGCTTCAGCCCCCAGGAGGTCTGAAGTCACAGTCATAACCTACCATTTTCAGCTTCTTGGGCTCTATTTATTTGAAGTAAAATAAAATGTTTAGGGCCCAAGGAGAAAGTTTTTTTTTTTTTTTTTTTCTACTGGGCTTCCAGGACATCAATGAGAAATTATAAACAAATTTATATTTCTTTCCCCCATAATAGAGGAGTATCATATAATATTTAAAATTGCTGTCTTGTAAGGGAATTTATGACAAGCTTTCAGGAACCCTACCCTTTCAAATGCAGGTGCTTCTTACCTTCCATAAGACGGAAACCAGAGCTGAGAGCAGCAGAATGCCAGCGATTACGCTTCCCACTACGACTCCCGTCGGAACCTCAGCTCTCTCGTTGGGTTTCGTTATCATAAGAGGAATCTGAAAACACAGAGGCGCACGGAGTTAGCAGATATTACACAATCAAAGCGGGAGTGTCATTCAGTCCTGTAATTCTGTAAATGAGCATCCCAGCTCTAGAAAGCTGATGGGCGTCCTCCTGAGGGCAAGCATTGTAGATTTTTTGAGGAGAAAAGCTGCAAAATGTAGGTAAAGAATACACATTTCCTCAGTGGCTCTCTGGGGTCGCACTGGTATGTTGCCTCTAGGTCATGCCTGCCGATCCTACGTGCTTTACCTGCACATAAGCTGGGGCTTCTCGCCGTCAAGAGAAAGCACAGGTCTGTGGGGAGAAGGGCCAAGAACCGCCAGACCCCACCGCTGTGACTTGGCTTTGTACGGCATGAACTTCTAGATCTCATTGCAGGTTGGGTTCAAGTGCACGAAGGTAGACATCCTATCCTTGTTTTGAGGTATTTATGTCTCTTTATGCCCACTTCATGCAATCTTTATGGTGCTGTAATGGAATGAATGATTGCCCTTGGAGTTTTAGTAGGACTGCTCTCTGTCTCTCTGTCTCTGTCTCTGTCTCTGTCTTTGTCTGTGTGTCTGTCTGTGTGTCTGTCTGTGTGTCTGTGTGTCTGTCTGTCTGTCTCTCTCTCCTGTATTTGGGCAAAGAGTATTGACCATTTCCTGCAAAAGATGCTCTTAAAGAGCTGTATTTTAAAGCAAAAGGAGAGGGCCACCTCTTACTCCATGTTAAATTTTAGTGGCAAATGAGCAGTTTTGTTTCCCATAATTTATTGGGTGAGCTAAACTGGAAGCTGGCCTGCTCAGTGTACTTCTCATTACTAAGAGTTTGTGAGTAAAGTTGTTCTCAATTCATATCATTTTTCTTTACTGCAGCTGTACGCCTGAGTCTCTCTTCCAGAGACTCCTAAACCGAGTCCACAGATCTTTCTGGAATCAAGAGTATAAAATTTGGTTTCAAGTGGGCCTGACATTGAATTAAATGTAACTATTTACCTTCCTGTAGGAAAATGTCACTTTATGATGGAGAGTCAAAACAGTATTCAAAAAAATTATGCAAATTGCTGTGTGGATTCAAAATATATTTTCATAGATGCAATTATAAAAAAGTCTGCTTCGTCTATTAGTACTGCTCAAAGAAAATCAAGGAAAAATATACTGGGTTCATGAAAATTGGTCACTGGAGTTCTCGGTGAGTATGTTTATAACTGCTTTCCAGAAAGCAAAGTCTGTAATTGAGGCTTACGTATTTTTTAAAAGCCATGTTGTTCTAAAGTGAGCTTTTAACAGAAATGTACAGCGCTTTCTTCCCTTGCTAAGTTCAGAGCCGTTCGGTCGAGCCTGCATTCCTTTGGCTCTGTCTCCGGCTTTGCACGCCAGCCTCTGAGGAGAGGCCCTGGCCTGCACTGAGTTTCCTGGGCCGGAGGCAGGATGCTTCGTCTGTTGCCTGGATTCATTTTCACTGGGACAAAGGGAACAGCAGTGCCATGGGCTGTGTGCTCAGGCGCTGAGCGAGGAATGAGGTTCATGGGACAGGGGACTTCTAAGGAAGTCCGTGGGCTGCAGCTGTGGACAGAGGCCACCTGCCACGCTGACCCTGCGGACACAGAGCCGTGAGCTGACGTGCAACTTCAAACAAAAGCTTCGAGAGGAAAGTGCTGAGGGTTTGCCTGCTGATTAGCTGGGCATGGAAGTCCCGCTAGGCCATATCTAAAAATGGCACATGCCAGCCAGAGGCTCAGCACAGAGGCCAGTCGTCTGTGCCAGCTCCTGGAACAGCAGGGCTTTGTTTCCTGCCGAGGCACGCTTCCCTGAAGGACCCTTTCCGTCAAGGGGAGCATTATAGACTTCAGCATCTAAGGCCGAGAATGCGCTTGCTGCACTGTCAGTCTGCCTGTGAGACGGGCTATTGTAGGAAGCCCTTTAATAACGAATGACCAGTTAGGCATGCTTCAGGACTTCTTAAAAATACTCTGGAATGCAATTTATGATTTGAATGGTTGTAACTTAGATTTGATGGCCTATAATGTAGACGGTTTTATATAAGCACTGTGGAGAAAGAGCAGCAGGGCTGGGGCGGGCTTGGAGAAGGGGCACGGGACTTCCCTGCCCACACAGAGCCCTTCTGCTGCGCCTTCCTTTGGATCACCACTTCTTGGAAGGCCAGCATGGGTGCCCGAAGCAGGGCAACTGTCACCGAACTTTCTGAATAGCAAAGACCCTTGCCAAAGCTCCACACAGGACACAGCAGCTTCTCAGAGTTTCAGCAAGACGCTTCCATGTGTGTGGAGGTAAGAAAATGGTTGTCTGCTCTGTGGAGACCGAGTGCCTCTGGGGGCAGGGTGCTGAGCTGCACTCACCGTGACAGCGTTCTCTTCGATCACGTAGATTTGAGGGTTATAGGTATTGATCTCCGCAGTTGCCGTCAGCTGTACTGTCTGGAATGTGGACTAGAACACACAGGAAAGAAAATATTTTATGGTTGCAGGAGAAAACCCAATGTGTTTACAGTTTATTTCCTGGTAGAAATTAACAAGAATATGAACGCTAAGGGTGAAGACATGGGAAGCTCTGTGTCACCGGCCCGCTGGCCAGAAGCTGCTGGACAACTTGTAAATGTGCAGAAGATTGGCCCCCGTCATTGCAAAGGCAGCAGATCTCTTGGGTGAGGTCGGGCATGAGCCAGTCAGAACTTCTCACCAGGAGATTCAGCCTTGCAGAGGGTGAAAAAAGGAGGGTTTCATGCTGGTGTTTTTAATTGGGGAAGGTAATAGTGAAGATGTTTTAAAAGTTCAAGACATGACAGAGGCTGGGGAGATGGCTCAGTTGAATAAGCACTTCCCTGGCAAGCGCTAGGCCCTGAGTTCAATCCCCAGTTCTGCCCCAAAAAAATAAAAATAAAAAAGACAGGCAAGTTTATTACATGCAGAATTTTTATATCCTCCCCTAAAGGCATCACATGATGGAATGGAAAAATCAACATTGAGATGATCAGAAGATTTTCTTTGGGGGCACATATGCATTACATAATAGTATTACAGTACACCTGAACTGCACCATGCAGGCAGCAGCAGATACCTTGAACCTCTTGACATCTTTTGTCATATAGGAATAATTTCAGATTTCCTAATGTAAGTGTTTCTGTGAAATAGTACTGGATATATGAAGCAGGTATTTAGAAAAGTCACGTATTTTATGTTGACTTGTAACCTCTTAAAAGGAAGTTGTCTTTACCTATATTCTCCAATCTAGATACAGAAAAGAGTTATTTTTTCAGTGGGAACATCACTGGTGCACACACTTTGCTGTGGTTGTTCTCTGTAGTACGGATTCTGGGTCTGTTCTTACTGCCACTCAGGCTTTAAAGCTGTTTCCCAACCTCTGGCTACTAGGACTCAGTTTTCCTGGTTGCTAAGCACAAGCTTCAACGCCCTCCATGAGGTCATGTGCTAGGCTGTATCCAGTGGCCAGAAAAAGAACAGATTTCCAACAAGGGAGCGATTTCTTTCCTTCACACTGGCCGAGTCTCTGGCTACTCTTAGCTTGCTCGGGACGGAGCCCTGCATCAGAAGTGAGCCCTCCTCCTCGGTCCCTTAAACATATGCTGTGGGGCAAGCATTCAGACCATCAGTAATGGGTTAAGAGTTTGCAACTAGAAAGTAGCTGTTGAGGTCATGCTTCTTGTTTCGTTGCTAGCTGCCATGCTATGGCTGTACCCCAGAGCAGGCCCTTCGTACAGGTATGCGACACCCTGCAGGTCTAACCAGCACAGGGAGGCGGAGCACACACACACAGGAGACCCCACACACACAGCTGCTAGCCTTGCCCGTGGCTTCTTACACAGGCAGCGCTTCAGAGAGGAAGGCTTTGTCATAAAGCTGCTTGAAGCCTTCATTGGAAAGTCACGTGAAGTGTTAAGCTGACTTAGAGCCACATCAGAAGAAGAAGGGCAGGAGAAGGCAGCGCCTCCCCAGGCCCCGACAGAGACACCAGGTAAGTATTTCAGACTGCATCTCCCAGGCGAGCTCAGAACCATCTCCTTTGCTGTTGAAATAGCTGGAAGCCAAGGGGGCCAGCCTGACCCTTCTGCAAGAAGGAAGATGTCCGAGACTTGACCTTCAGTGCTGCCCAGGGGTGCTTTTTCAGTCTCACCGACATAAGTGTGTGGAAAAGGATAAGCACTATACTTTACGTTTGCCTCTTGGACGCAGCTGTACCTCTGAAAACCATTGGAAAAGTCCTCTTAAAACATCTTACAGTTCAAATGGTGTATATTAAATAAGCTTAAGAAAAACCAAATGCCTTCCACAGAGCTGGCATTTTGACGTGTAAAAGTCAGTTTTCCTTCCCATTTGGCAACGTTTCCTATGAAAACTTGTTCCTCACATCCGCAGAGCCAAAAACAAATTTGTAAAAACTGAGCACCAAGCTGCTGCAGGTAGGAAAATGCTACGCAGCTCAGAAGGCAGTAGGCACCCCACCCGGCTGGGCAGCCACGCAGCAGGGAGGAAGGAGAAACACGCGAAGCAGAAAACTAAACTCATTTCCTCACCCTTCCAATTCTGTACTTTTTCCCCTAACCTTTTCACCACTCCTTTTTTTAATTGCATCTTCATAAAAAATATTGCTCATATTTTGGCTTCAGGGAAAAGTTACAAAGGGTTCCCAGTCCTGTAATCTTGCACAAAATTCCATAGCAAAGAACGGAGATTATTGGAAGAAATCTTCCTTTTATTGGAAGAAGAATCTCCTTTTAAGCACCCTAGGAACTGATTTATTTGTTTAAAAGAAAAAAAAATGGAACTTACACACTCCCCCCAAGAGGTTTCAGACTCATATTTTACCGCCTCAGTCAAAGCCAGTGTTGGCAGGAGGCGTCATCAGTCAGCCGGTCACTGAAGCATCAGACTCGAGGAGGCCGCTGTCCCTACACATTCTCTTCACACTAGACCGAAGTTCCGGCTATGTAAACATACTGAAACACTGCTATCCTGGCCACGCACCTGCCCACCAGAAGACCAACACGGACATAGTTTAGCACTTTCTTCACATTTTTCATGGGGATTGGAATGACTTAGAAGTTGGGTGCTGACTGCTTTCTCATCAGAGAAAGGTAAAGCAAGAGAGAAGAGGGTTTGCTAAATCAGAGGAGGGATCCTTTGGTGGATTCGTCTCCTGGGTCATTTGAGACCCATCCACCAGTAGCTGTGACCTCAGCCAGAAGGACAGAGACACCTGCATCTGGGTGGTGGGGACAGAGAAGCCCTGGAGGGGGAAATGCGGGGTCCTGGTCGGAAGACAGAGCGGGTGCATTTGCAGACAAGGGTAGCCAAGGCCACTGTGGCGCCATTCCTGTAGATACCAAGGGCTACCATGAGTCCTTAAGCAGCCGCCCTTCTTAGGAGCTCCCTCCGGACTCTGAGGTGGTCGGAAGGAGAGCCCCGGGGAGCGATGGCAACGTACTGCCTGCTACGGTGACCTGCTCTGGGTTACTGAGCCGCCACCATCATTGAGCAGAATACCATTTCATCAAAGTGCACAAACTCCTGTTTTCCTTTCCATGTCAGTGGGGAGGCCAGTACATGAAGCCAATACTTACTGCAGCGAAAGTCTGGTTCCAAATCCTGGTAGTCACGTTAATGAAGTATTCTCCCTTAATGTCGAGGTTTTTGAACCAGCAGGTGATGTCACTACAGGAAGCAGTTCTACAGTCCTGTCAGATTCGAGTCCACAGTGAAAGGAGAGAGGGTTAGGATGGCTGTAAGAAACAAAGGCTAAAAGATTAGAAAGATGGATAATGCTCAGTAGTGGGAAGAATCCAGGGCAACAGGCTACCTCATGAACTGCTTTTATAACCCCTTTGCAAGGAATTTTGGTACTAGGTCACAAAAGCTGCCCTCTTTCCCCCAAGCATTTCTTATCTGTGGAGGCAACTTCAGGAAGAACTGCAGAAGTGTGTGAAGCACGTGTGAAAGTTGTGTTTATTACACTACTAACACTAGTAATAACACAACACAGTGACTCACCTTTCAGCAGTGGGCTACTTAGGAAAATCAAACTATATTAACAAAACTTTTTATAATTTAATCATGAAACCTAACCATAAAGATGATTTTTTAAAAATGTATTTGGTACAGGGTCTCACTACACAGCTCAGACTCATAGTGATCTCCTGTCTCAGCCTCCCCAGCACTGGGATTACAGGCGTGAGCCGGCATGGCATGTGGTGCTGGGGATTGATTTTTTTTTTTTTTTTTTTTTTTTTTTTTTTTTTTTGTGGCACTGGGAATTGAACTCAGGCCCTTGTGCTTGCCAGGAAAGCACTTATTCTACTGAGCCATCTCCCCGGCCCGGTGCTGGGGATTGAACCCTGGTCCCTGTGCTTCCCTTGGCAGGTACTTAGTCCACTGAGCTATCTCACTGGCCCTAAGATGAATTTATCAGATTAAAAAAAGTGGACAGTAAAAGAATAGTGGTTGTCAGGGGTTTTGGGAGAAGGGAGAGAGGAACAGAGCACAGAATTTGGGGGTCAGTGAACCTACCTTTTATGATACTACAACTGTGGGTGCATATCATACATTTGTCCGGATTTACAGTGTGGATTTTCATAATGCCAACAGTAAACCCTCAATAAACTGGAGTTTTGGTGACAGTGTACATCGAGGTTGGTTTGTCTGCTAACAACGGTGGCTCTTTGACTGTGGAGGAGGCCGAGGTTTTGTGGGGAGAGAGGCTAGATGGGGAAGGTTTGAAGACACCACCTAACTTTGCTGTGAACCTCAATTTGCCTTTAAAGTAAAGTGCTGTGTGTGTGTGTGTGTGTGTGTGTGTGTGTGTGTGTGTGTGGCTGGCTCAGCTCGCCCTGGGGGTGGGGCTGGCATGGTATGTGGTGCTGGGGATTGAACTGTGGTCCTTGCGGTTGCCTAAGCTTGCCTAAGCAGGTGCTTTAGACCGCTGAGCTATTTCGCTGGCCCAGTAATGTGCATTTTAAAAAGCTATACATTATATGGCCCCATCTCCAAGGACAAAAGGTAGCAGGGCCCATTCACGGAGCAGCGCACATAGACCTCTAAGCGCATGAATGCCATTAAACGAAACACAATTTTATTCTGTTCTTCTGCTTCTCCTGCATCCTACACAAAATCAAACATTTGCAATGAAAGGTTTAAACTGGAAGAATTTCATTCAGGATTTTTGATAAGGGAGAACTGTGGATAATTTAAGGTTTACTGTTTACCAGATATTTACGTATTTGAATATTTACTATGTGATTAAACTATATGCCAAGCCGTGCGCTAGGATAGTAGGCGGAGTCCTCCTGAAGGGCATAGGTCAGAAACAGGACGTAATGCGATACAAAAAGGCAGAAGAGGGGGCACACTGGACAGTTAAATAAAAGTCATCAGCCGTTGTGCTGCGGGCAGCCTGGGAGGACTGAGCTCGAGAGCATATCTGGGTCCTTCGCAGGCCTGAAGCACACCCCACAGGCACAGTTATTGCACACATGTCCTTTGGCTATCAAAGACTCTGGGCATTTAATTCGCAAGTGTTGGCATAAGTAATAATTCTAGCAACCTCGACTTGAGAATGCGTTTTCTAAATCTTAATTTGCAGCAGCCATCAACAGCAAAAAATGAGGAAACGCTATGAAACCAGCTGGCCGGATACGAGCTCCTCGGTTTGTAGGTAAAACAAACCTTGAACTCCTGAGAGAAACTAAGAGTGGTAGCCTGTTCTCACCAGTTCTTTTATGTGCCGGAAGTTTTCTCTCTTGAAAGATACAGCAGAAGCGGTCAGGCCCAGTCGCAGCGGGTTTATTGCTGCCTTACAGCTGATGTCGCCAGCCTAGGAAGAAGAGCCCAGGTCAGACTGGGAGCAGAGTGTGCTAACGACGTTCTGTTCTCAAGTGAGAAATCTGCCTGTCACCCTCGGAGGAGGGAGGGAGGGTCTGCTAGGCCTCTTCCCAGAGCGGGGACCTACCCAAGCACCCCCATGATCACTATACGAGGAGCCACTGCATTCAAGGCCTCCGATGTAACCTGATAAAGGACGAGATCTTACAGGCTTCTGCAGCTTAGATGTGTTTCATGACACGGTTCATTGGAACCAGGGTGACAGCGACAGTGTTGAGGGACTGGGACCTTGAATAGTTGGAGCCTAGGGGAGGTCGTTAGGTTAACTGGGAGTGCGCCCTCCAGCCACTGTCTGCCCTCCGGTCACGTCTCTTTCTTCCCTTCCCCTTCCTCTTCCTCTTCTTCCCCCTCAGCCTCCTCTGTGGGCTTTTCCTACCCTCCACCGCGAGGTCCTCACTAGAGCGCAAATGATGCCGAATCGTGCGCTCAGACTTCTAGAACTGTGAGCTTTAACATTTATTTTTTCATCAGAAAGACATTGAGGCTCAGGTTTTGCTTATAAGAATGCCAATGGTCTACCACCCAGCCCATGAGTAATAAGAAAAACGTGCAGTGAGGACACACCAGGAGCGATTTAATTCAGGGTTCTTTTCTGTGGAACGGCTGAGGGGCTGACTTCCTAGCCTTCCACGCAGGCTCCAGGAGGACGCTTCTGTGGACTGAGCTCAGTGCTAGACCGAGGGTGGGCCGGCTGCAAGGGGTTTGAGTGGAGGAGTGGCTCGGGACCCACGAGAGCCCTGCAGAGCCTGAGCAAAGGTGCTGAAGCCGGAGAGCTTGTCTTTAGCAGCACTGTAGGCCTCGCTCTGTAAAGCGAACCTGGGGCGGCTGCAGGGAAGGCCAGGCGGGGCGGGCGTCCCTGGGTGGAAGTCCAGGCTGGCTGCCTGAAGACCAGCGTCTGCTGCGGAGTGTAGCCCTACTGTGCGCTCCCGGGGCTCCCACTCTCACTTCCAGTCTTCTTCCTAACAAGGGCCTGCCAAAGTCCAACCTGCACCTGACCACAAGAGGACCTGGAGAATAATTTTTGCCACCTATAAATACCTAGACTCAAACATTCCTTTTGAAAATAATATTTTGCTTCAAATATGAAATTAATGCTTGTTTGTTGATACCTGGGATGCATGGGTGTTTTCTGCTGTTTTTCATCTATAAAATGTCAGACCCAATCACCCCTGGTGGTTATTTCCATCTTGAAAACACACATTTTTTTTTTTTTTAAATGTGTTTGGTACAGGGTCTACAGGGTCTCACTACATAGAGTGGACTCATCGTGATCCTCCTGTTTTCAGCCTCCCAAGCACTGGGATTATAGGCATGTACCACAACGCCCAGTCTCAATCTCAGTACATCCCGGGGGCAGGGCCAGGACTGCAGGCCCGGGATCGAACCCAAGCCACTGTGCTCCGCCTAAACAGGCGCTTTAGACCGCTGAGCTACCTGGCTTGCCTTGAAAATGCACATTTTTTTATAAGCCGCTTTGTTAAGCTCACCTGGTCCGTGTGTACATCAGTCAGGTACAGGAGCGGGTTCTTCTCTTTGGTGTACTGCGGGATGTGGATGTCCACAGATGCCATGCTCACTGGAACAAGTCCTGTGGTCACCTGGGTGGGGAAGAAACATTCTAGGATGACTCCATGGCGCGGGTGATGCAAGCAAAGTGATCACTGGCTCCTGGCGGAGGAGGGGCACTGCCAAGCGCAAGCAGTCGGCGGTGTGGCTTGGGCAAACAACTCAGTCTCTCTCTGCTTTAACTTTCTCATCCATGCAATGAGCAAAAGCAGAAATTGAGCAGGTTCATGCTCATATACCAGCTGTCCCCACTGGTAGGCTTTTGATCTAAGTGGCCAGGGCTTATGTCTTACTGGCTGTTAAATGTTTAAACAGCAACCCAAGTCATAATAATAATCCACCCCAATAGCCACTCTGGCAGACACAAAAGCACCTGCTACAATGGCTAATAATTATCATATACTCTATAAGTGTTAGTTTTTATTTTTGCTATGAATTAATTAAATGTCCACTAAAGAATGCGTCTACTGAATGCCATCTATATTTTATAAATTCCACTTATCTGGATAGCAAATCAAGATTTTTTTTTATACCTTTAAAAATCACCAAACTGCAGGTTGTAGCCAGGAAATACACTGACAGAAAATGGACAAAAATAAAACGGCTTTGACTCAGGGTGATAGGTAAATTCTTTTTCACTTTCTAAAATTTCTGTAATATTATGTTATGAAATAGTAATATTTTTACAGTGAACTTTCTCGTTACATATCCTATTAATGTCTTTAGATTAATAATTCTTACCCGTAGACATTAGAATTGAATTCACAAATACTTGTAGACACTAGGATTGGACGTGTGGCTCCGTGTGTGAGTGCTGCCCAAGCATGTGCAAGGCCCTGGTGTCAGCCCAGCACTACTACACGTATGTGCGGACACACAGCGCAATGCTGAACTCTGCTGCTGGTTATCAGAGTGCAACTAGCAGCGCAGCACCACGTGGGAACTTTCTAGAAATGCAGATTTTCATCCCAGACCCACTGACCCACTCCAGGGTCAGCCAGCTTTGGTGCAGCAACAAGCCCTCGGATGACTTGGCACACACCCAAGTGTGAGTGACACGCATATATTTTGATTTTATTTTCTTATCTTTTTTCCCCCCCAGACCCATTATTTTTTCTTTTGCCTTCTTCTAATCTGCCACCTTTAGGACAGACTTACTAACCTTAAGAGAGAAGATGAATTTTGGGCCAATATCTTCAAAATTGTGCACGACAGAAAGCAGATTCTCATCAGAGGAAACTTCATAGAAGTTTATGTTGGTGGATCTGCGGGGTATTTGTAGAGTCAATGCTTTGAGTTTTGCTTTCATTTTTTCAGTTTAATATATATTTTACTCAAGTATTTCAAACGTTGATTATAAGTAAAACAGTTTACTTTTAGTTCCAAAGCACTATATAACCATCCTACATTAAAATCAGTCTTTTTAGCTTCCTCACATGAAAGACCACAGGAGGAATTTGTTCTTTTGTGTCTGATCAGAGGCTGGGAAGGGCGGTGTGGAGGAAAGTGAGAAAGCGGCTGGATAGAGCATCAGAAAACAGAAGCAGCAAGTTCTAGTGCTTTCCAGCACAGGGAGGTGTCTATGGTTCACAATCCCCTCTTCTATATTAGTGAATGAGTAGAAGAGCTCAGCGTCTCCAGAGATGAAGTGATGAAAAGGACAAAGAAATGCAAATTATCACAAAATATACACACACTGAAATTGCATATGTGTACTTAAAGATCATTCTGTACCTTATAAATACATATAATTACTTTTTGTCAAGCAAATGTTCTAAAACGTTAAATAGATGAAAATGCCAACTACCCTTGATTTTATAACACATTGTATGCACATACTGAATCTTCATTCTAAAATCCACATATATGTATGTACCATCAAAACTACAATTCTAAAAATCTTAAAAACCACTAGATGAAACCAGATAGTTCTTATGGTCTTATGGCCCAATCTAAGCTCTTAAAACTAAAGTAAATTCAAGATCTATCCCTTCCTGTCTTTCTGAGGAGATTCTGCACGTTATATGTTCATGAGTTGTCAAGTTCCGGAAATAACCACAAAAGTATTGCTTTCGCACTGATAGCAGAACTGCCTCCAGGGTTGCTCTGTTCACTGGTATATTAATGTGGTGGACACTCAGCACTTTTTGACTGGAGGGGACGGGTGGATTTATACGCCAGGGCTTTCCCACTTGCTATGGGTGAAATATAGTGATGTGATATTGGGTTTTAGCTCCTGAAGTATTCAGTACTAGATGCCTGTGAAAGAGGACCCAGATTTATTTCATTAATCTTTCTTCCCAGCCATTTCTAGTTCCAAACCAACTCTAATGCTCTGGCTCTGAATGTGGGTTATTCAAACTGGTTTCCACCAGTAGTGGGTCTGTCTGTAAGAAGCGGGACTTAAAGGCACTGGGCTGATTTGACCTCTTTGCTTGGAATGGCAACCTACAGCAGCACAAAGATGTCTGTCGAGGGAACTGCCACAGGGCCACTTGGGCTGGCATGGAGCCCAACTCCTCCCCCTTCCTCTCATCTTGCAGGCTCTGAAGTTGGTTTCCAGCCAGACCAGCTTCTTGGGGTCTGGAGGTGTGGAGGAGCAGTAGCAGGAGAAAGAGGCTGACAAGTGCTACGCATATCCTCTCCATGTATTCTCTACACAGAGTTTCTTAGGAGAACTGACCGGGTTTTGAAATAGTTGTGTGGGCTATATGTGCATGGACCATTCTCCTTGCCTTAGAGGATGTGTGTGTGAGCCCCTGAGCAGGGCCGGTATCTACATTGGTCATGATTTTCTACTTTTGGCATTATAAAGAGATCTGATGCTTTTCCACTTGTGTAAGTTTTCCCTAAGTTACTTGAGTACCGTGTGTGTGTGTGTGTGTGTGTGTGTGTGTGTAGCATACACACATCAGCCTCAGCAGTCATCCATACTCACAGGGAATCCTGTCATAAACATAACCCTAGCACCACTATTTCTACCATCGTACAATCAGGATGCACACTTATATAATATCAAAGTAGAGGCTAACAGACCCACTCAGCCATCAGGCATAGCTTTTTCAAGTTTGAAAACCACATTTGTTAAAAATAGTAGTAGTCCTATCTCTTGGGGGTGAGTAAACAAATGAAATGAAAATGCAAAACCACAACACACTAATGCTGGCTGGCCATATAAACTATAAAACACCCAGGAATTGAGTGAGCTGGACATATTTGACCTGATATGAAAAATTTCTCTAAGACTGCATAAAATGCAAAATATAGAGCAACATTTGATTGTGTGTGTGCATGTATGTGTGTACTCCCTATATAATGTTAGATCAACCATGTCTGCAAAATATTCCCAAATAGTTACATTTGTCACCAGGGAGGAGAGAAGAACAGACCTTACTTTCACTGGGTAGATATCTTTAATGTCTCGATTTTCTATCTATAGTGTACATTTAATGTTTTTCTTTTAAAGAGAAAAAAAACAGGTGGAGAATTATTCGGGTGTAGGAGGAACCATTTAGCTTTTTCTTCGTAATTCTCTATATTAAATATTTAAATACATACTTTTTAAAACACTGGAGTGTATTGGAATCCAAATCACCCTTCCAACAATACATAGCTAAGAGGTCAGGAAGTAAGAGCGCCGTTCTGTTTCAATTTCATGTTTATTTCATGTTAAAATTCTGGGGCCGGGGGACATTGGCCCTGATGGCAGAGTGGAAGGACCAAAAGACTGTGTTAATCGAAGTGTTTAGGACACAAAGGATTAACAGTAGTGCGAAGGAAATATTTAGGCGATGTGGTGGCAGGGATCTTTGTGCCCGCAGGTGTTTCCGGGCTTATCTCAGCTAGCCCGAGTCCTCTGAACTCTGCGGTCACTGATTAACTTTTCAGGGATGGGTGGCTTGCGCTGCGCTTTCTCTCCCCTCTCGCACTTGCCACCCACTGGACACAGAAGCATTCTTTTCTTCTTTACTCATGTGTCTCAAGCCCAGACAGGACCACACAGTTTTCTTTTGGTTTCTGCTTAGTGAGTTATTGGATGGCATATACCATCAATGCTTTGAGGGGTTGGGATGACAAAGTAGAGGGCAGTGAAGCCGCTGTCGTGGGGCTTGAAAAGAGCACTGTGCCTTGCTCTGGGCCACTCATCTGCCCCCCAAAGCAGCCTGGGTGCTTCACGAGGGAGAGAGCACTGGTTGCCCCCAGGGGGCGGTGCACTGCTGTGTACCTATCAGCGCCTGTGGGATTCATATGCCTGCCAGTTCCCAAGTCACTCGTTCCTGGGAGCGACTCAGAGTGGCTGGCATGTACTACTATAACATTTTAATGACTGCCATCAGGTTCACTTGCTTTGGTAAGGCAAGAGAAGGGATGAAGCAGTTCTTCACGGATGACATCCTCTGGAAAATCCCTTTCCTCCTGGTTGGAAGAACGCCCTAATCTATTATGTCAGAGATTTTCCACCCAGAAGCTAGACCTGATCTAGTCTCCATATGTGACTGTGTGATGTGTGAGTGACTCCACTCAGTATTAACTGTAGACTCCCCATGTGCAAAGCGGGGTGAAGGGGGCTTTGACACCAGAGATGCAGGTACTGCCTGACATCTCCATGCCCCGTGGGAAGTGAGAAGAAAGAGCTAACCACTAGTACAGCTCTAGAGCCCGTTTCAACTTCCAGGGAGGGTTTCAGCCCTTCCAAGAGCCAGGAGGGGACCTTTCCTAGGGTCAGTGGGGAAGTGTTTTCCCTCTGCTTTTCAGGGCAGCTTTCAGTCAACAACCCTAAAGCATTGCTCAGGGCTGCCGAGGTGCTGATGTACCTGTGGCCCTCTGGTGTGGCTGGCAAGGGGATACCCACTCTTTACTTAGGTCTCTACATGCAGTAGGCCAGTGTCGTGGGCGGTGGGCTACCTGCTCAGCACAGGCTTGGCGTACCTGGTCAGGTGAATTTCAGCATCATACAGGAGAGGGATTTGGAGGCTCACTGAATTGTCTGCCTTGTTTACTTCCTCACTTTCACTGTGGAGATAAACATTAGGAAATTACTTAAGGTGGAATGTTCTGGAAGCCGCTGACCATCATTAGTGACTTTATTCCATTTTACCTGAAAGCTTGGAAGCTGAAAGACGCCTGATTCTGAAGGTTTTGAAGATTGAAGTCAAAGTTAATAGTGAACGTCACCTGCACACAAAGTTAAAATTCATCAGTCTAGGATGCTTCATACCCAGGAAAGGAAAAATAGTCCCCATCAAAGCAAACTCATTCCAATCTGATCCTGACATTTATTTTCCTCACACTTTCAAACTTGTGCACTCTCTATTGGTCTTCTTTACTCTAGCATGCTCCCCGTACAGTTAGGAAAGCTTAAATTTCAGCTGACAGCTGGAAGTTATTCAGCACACATACTTGTTTGCACTAAAGCTTTGTGGTGATAGGAAACTTAAAGAGCAGAGATTAACAGACGCTCTCTGTGCAAACGGTGGCCCATGTTGGCCAACATGCTGAGGCAGAAAGAACGCTCCTTGTTGTGTGTGCTTCCGTGCATCAACAGCGTGGAGGAGGACAGGCCTTTGGTGTTAATTTCAAAGAGATACTTCAGTTATTAAGAAACTTCCTCTAAGCATGGAGTTACTTATCTTGCAGCTGCTGTCAAGTGACAGCGCCTCACCAGGAAGATGTTATGTCGTAAGTTGGTCAATTAGAGCACACGCGAGCATGGGTCTGAGGGGTCGCGCAAGCCATACCTGTTGTTCACTCTTCAAAGCAGGATAGCCCACGTCACAGGCAACGGAATTCTGCGTGGAATCAACCTGGCACGTTACTTCTGTTCCATCCACCTGCGCAAAATCAAGGAAACAAAAACCAGTTAGTCGGTACCACCACGTGAGCGCGGACACACACATGGGGAGATGTAGAGACATTCCCCAGGAAGATGGGCTCACGGTGAATTAGGTGACTCTCCCCAAAGCTCTGAAAATCTTTTACTCTCCAAGCGGCTAAATTTAAGCTTTTATGACTAACTCTAAGGATACACCTTCATAGCTTTAGATGCTTTGGCTTTAGACAAGCAAAAGAATTCATAATTGTATCCACTCTCCCAAAGGAAATCATAGTTCTCATATTTCAGAAGCACAAATAGCTTTAATCTAATATGCAGAAATTTTATCTTTAGTATATATATTTCTCTAAATAATTTTGAAATAATATGTTCATAAGAATCATGGTGGTCTTTGTATTTTAAATAACTTGATGAATTTTTTTTTTAAGTTTTGTTCAGTTCTCTTTAAAAAAAGTTGCACTTGACATGGGGCATTTCAACACTAAGGTCAGGATAGAGTGAGGTCTCCAAACCTATTGAGTTCTCATTAACTTTAAGTGGAAAGAAACCATTTATTTAATACTTGACTGAAGTAGCTCGCTTGGAAAATGGCTTTTCCTCCTTTCCTATTTTTCTCTCTCTGTGGCATTGGGTGGAGGAGGGAGAACGCCGTCACGGTCAAGTTCATTTCTGGGTTAGAGATCTGCTCAGTGCGACTGCTTGGCTTTGCTGGAAGGCAGCATCCTGGCAGCAGCCAGAGCTACGGTGGCCAAGCTCAGGCTGAGCTGTGGGACCTGGGGGACCCGAAGCCGGGGCCACATCTGTGTGTGCCCAGCAGGCTCCTCGCAGAGTGGGCTGAGGGGAGCTGCAGGAGGGGCTGGCCTCCAGGCCAAGTCGCAGGGCAGAGGGAGGGGTGAGCACGCCATGCACTAGAGGGAGAGATGCACAGCGGGACCGTGCCCTTGGATGGCACATCTAACTGGAAGTCGCTAGTTGGGGCTGATGTGCTCAGGGTTAAGGTGCTTCTTTAGGCAACTCAGAGGCCCTGGAGGGTTGAATTTAAGGTACAGAGTATCTGACAGCAAGTAGGAAACTCAATAGCTGTATTCTCAGTGTTGTCACTTACCGGCATGGAGAAGGAAGCAAAGAATAAGTTTTGTGAAAAATTCGCAACAATTGCAGTGTTATAGGCGCTTTCCCCTTTGTTTTTCAGTGTTATGGAAAATGTTAACCTTTTCTTCTGGTTGCTGACAATAAAGGACTCTTTTCTGTAGAAAGTAAGAGGGAGAAAAAAAAAAGGTCATTAAAATAAAAGAAAGAAAGAGAAGGGCCAGTATTTAAAGATCTCATTCATTTAAGAAAAATATCTGTTTGTATCTATTTGGAAGATTGAGAAACTTGCTTAGAGACACAAGTTATCTACATTTTAAAATGATACTGAAAAAACTGAGGACAACCTGCTTGGGTCCCCCTTCTGTCCCCCTCAGACAAAAGCTGTCTTTCCCAATAAATATTCTGCTCTTAAAAAAAAGAAAAGAAAAAGTAAGAACATGCTATTGGATTTTCTTCTTCATTGCTGTTAATTACATTTCAAGGAAAAGAACTATACAAATACCAATACTTTTGTGCTGCTTATTTTGTGCTAGTTTTTTAAAGGTTTTTAGTATTGTAAACATTTATTTTGTAGGAAATAGAGCTCCATAAACATTCATTTGAAGGAAAAAATCAAGGGCCCCCTTTTCTCTGCATTTTGCACAGAGATTTACAGTGTACGCACTGGGTAACTGGCAGCTGCTCGACGCCCAGCACCAGGTCTGAGAGGCAGATTCCGTCACCGCCGCAGTCTTTGTAGAAAGGGATCTATCAAAAGAAAGAAAACAAGAAAGGAAGAGAAAAAAAAAATTTTTTTTCTTCTGGGTTTGGAAAGCACTATCCAGAAGAATGCACATAGTGTTATTTCATTTACATAAAGTTCACAAAAATGGAAAAACCAAAGAATGATTAGGAATGTGTATGTGTTTAGCAAAACCATCAAGAAAAACGATGACAAATGCTAAATTCAAAATAATGACTTGTTCGGGGGAGTAGGATTGGAGTGGAGGCAATGGATGGGGGCCACACGGAACTTCCTGGGCACTGGCGATATGTAAAGTGGGTGGCGAGCCCAAGTTATTTACCTGATTTTAAAAATTAATTCCTTCAGCTCTAGGGCTAGAGATGGAGCAGGGGCCAAGGAAGACAAAAGCCTCTGCCTTTGTGGAATTAACCTGCTAGTTAAGGTAAACTCAATTTCACTTCAAAAATTACAACATCGAGGCTACGTCCTAGCGCCTAAGTATCTTTAAACACTGTTGCAGTGAGTCGTTAGCCAGTTAGCCAGCCCACGCGCAGGAAGGGCAAGAAACACTTACGCTGAAGACCTTGACGGTGTCGGAATAGGCTTCCAGTGCAGGACTAGTGCCAGGCTTTTCCAGACTGATGTCCACACGCAGCTCCAAAGAGTTGACAACGTCAGAGGGTTTCTAAACACACACACACACACACACACACACACACACACACACACACAGAATTAGTTTGTTGCGAGGGCATCGAAGTTTTAAAGCAAGGAAACAACCCCAATGTGTTCATAATTAAGAACACAGTATTGCTCAATGATGTAGACTCTCCTCATTGTGAATATTCACTCTTTTCTGTCCTAATTCACCGTGAACCTCTAAACTACTAGATGACCTGAAGAGACTCGATCCCGTAAAAATCCAGAGCAGTGGTTCTTAGTGGGCTCATCAATAATCTCATTATTTATACATAAGTAATTAGAAGTATTTAGATGATATGCTCAGTTTTAATCTTCAAAAACCTCCTGTGTGAGGGTAGGGCCCGCGGGTGGTTGGCTGTGTCTTTCCAATTCCTACTTCCAAGACTTAAGAGTTGGCTCTCAGGTAAGAGGGGGGTATACTCCTTTCCTTGTCAGGATCCACTTCTGCTCGGCAGAAGCAGGCAAAGGCAACGCCTGCGTCCTAAGTGAGGCTCCTCAACCTCCCCGGCCTCCCCGGCCCAGGACTGGCTGTTGTGAGCTGAGCCGCACATGAAGAGGACGCATCCTTCACTTCAAAGTAAACACAGCTCTGGCCACACACCAGCGCACCTTCTCCACTTTGCATGGGTGCAGAGGGCAGAGGATTCACAGGGAGTCCAGGAGACACCATCCCTCTCCAAGTTTCGAGGTTTCTTATCTAATGAAAGGTGTAAAAATGCCAAAGCACCGTAGTATAGATCTCACACAGAAGTCATCTTTAGACCTCTTGCCAGGTCTTGTCAGGAAAGAAAAGCACTTGCAGTGCCAATAAGAAGGAGCTTAAGCATC